ATCTAGTAGATTTAGTTGCATATGTCTAATTATTTAAATAAAAGGAAGTGGAACATTATTAGGGTTATCAAGTGGTGTCAAAGATTTCCCCCTCTTTTTTTGGCCATTTTTTGTTTACGTTTTTATTTTATTTTATTCTATTAAACATTGAGAAAACGACATGATATTGATTATTGATGGAAAGTAACCTATAAGAGAATTCTAGTGCACAGTTGCTGCTCAAAAATTGACTGGCCTAGCCAATTTGATTTTTCTAGTGAGATTTCAATTTCAGGATTACATCTGGAATTTTCAAATGTAAGTATGTACATTATTTTATTGGCAAAACCAAATGTATCTATTATATAAAGAAGAGTAGTGATACACAATCAATTTTTTTTGGCAGAATCCAACCTTGAGTTAAAATGGTGGAGACCACTAACTGTGGGATATATATATATATATGTGTGTGTGTGTGTCTGTGTAGGTAATAACAAAACAAAGTATTGTCAATGTTATTCTTCGAGAAAGAGACGAGAAAAAAAAAACACCAAAAAAAAAGAAGAGATGTATTTCTTTATGTTTTATTTTAGCGCATACTTTAGGTACTTTTAAGATATTACCTTAAGTTTTTGTTAGGCACTTAGGCTTTCTAAGGGATGTGACAAAAAAAAAGTAAAAAGGAATTACTAAAAAAAAGAAAAGTAAAAAGGATTGTAGAAACAAAGGGGGGAAAATATACCAACCAAAGAAAAAATACAAAAGGGTAATTTTAAAGCTTTTAATTTCTCAACTATTATTCTTTATTCTTGAATAAATTAAAATATATATCTTGAAGAGTTCATGATACTATATCTATATCACACGTGTTTATATTTTATTAGAAGATAAGTTATTTGTAGTATATAATATTTATAAAGTCAATAAAAAAACTTTACACACCACATATATATATATATATATATATATATATATATATATATGAGTTTAATGTATTTTATGTTATAGGAGATAAAATTCTCTCCTAACTACACATAAAAGTATATAGATCCCACATACTTTCCAAGTATATGTCTCTTATATTATAGGAGTTTAATATTTCTTATGCTGTAGGAGATAAAATTATCTCTTACATACATATAAAAGCATGTGAGACCCATATTTTTTTTCTCTTATTCCACATGCTTTTATGTGTGTATAGGAGATAATTTTATCTCCTATAATATGAGAGACATCAAACCCTATATATATATAACCAATTCACCCAAAATTTTAAGCTGAGAAGTGAAGGTTCGTCAATGGTTTTTTATATTTTATATTTTTAATATATCCCCTTATACAAGAGCCATTTGGGCTTCAATCATGGATACTGCAAAGACCCATTTTTTTGTTGTACCTAGTGCTTACTTTATTTTACTAGAAAGTAAAGGCAGTGAGGATCAAACTCGTAATCCCGTGGTCATTGACCATGTCAAGCAACCATGTCACCCAACAACTTAAGCTTAGAAGTGAAGGCCCATAAATCATTTTCTATATTATATCTTTGTAACATAAACAACCATCTCACATAAAAGCTTAAGCTAGTAAATGAAGGCTCAATCAATGATTTTTCATATTATGTTTCTATTACATTTTTCTAACACATCTCCTCACAAAAGAGCCCAATGGGCTTGAAACATGAGTATTGGACAAACCCATTTTTTTACCTTGTGTTGACTTAATTCCACTAGAAAATGAGGAGTGGTGAGGCTCGAACTCGTAACCTTATGGCCTCGAAAGTTCTTATACCATGAAAAACAATTATCTCACCTAAAAGCTTAAATTGTGTTAGAATCAAACTCATGACTCTATGATTATGACCTTGTGGTCACTTTGACTCATATATCATGATTCTTCTTATGCAACTGCAGAAGTATATATTTTCACACACACGCACATATATATATATGAAAAATAATTTATCCTTTTAAAGGACATAAACTTATGTTCTTTCACCCCCTTATAATTATGTACTACGAGGAATACATAGTTATAATAATAATTTTTTTTTCTCTTTTCAAAAACTTTTCAAAAACTTATAGGTTGACGTGGAGAGAGAGAAAAAAGTAACTTTCACATTATAACTATGTGCTCCCGGAGGACATAGTTATAAAGGGTGAAACGACATAAACTTTCATATATATATATATATATATATATATATATATATATATATATAAATGGGTTTTGTGTGTGTAGCAAAATTTCGTAATGTGACTGCTCCTAAGGATTGATACAGTTACACTATACACTACGGATAATACATAATATATTTCCTCTATCTTCAGAAATTTAACTATGTACTACAGGTAGTACATGATTCTCTCTTTTTCTTTCTCTTTAGAAATATTATAACTATGTACTACTCTTAGTATATAGTGTAACTGCACCAGTCCTTCCATATATATATATATATATATATATATATATATATATATATAGGGGCAGGATATTCTTACACTGGTGTAAGAGTTAGAAGTCTTACACTCAATCTTGACCATTGATCCACTTGTATCCAATGGCTCACATTACTAAAAAATTTGAGCCATTAGATATAAATGGGATCAGTGGACAAGATTAAGTGTGTAACTTGCACTGGTTTAAAATGATCCTAACTCATATATTTATACATATATATATATATATATATATATATATATATATATATATATATATAGAATGATCTGTTTACAAAATTTTTGTACAAATTTTTGCAAATTACACTATGTACTCCCAGAAGTATATAGTGTAACCTAGTGTACTCCAGGTAGTACATAGTATAGTTTGTAAATAAAAAATTTGTAAATATATAGGCCTCCCCTATAATATATATATATATATATAGCCTCCCCTATAATATATATATATATATATATATATATATATAGAGAGAGAGAGAGAGAGAGAGAAATTATCAAGCAGCTTAAGATATATTTATCTCCGTCCACCAAAAATTACGTTATTTTGTTGATTTATTTCCTTATATTAATTGATTCACTTTTGAATGGTTATTATTCTTTTTTTCTCTCTCTTCCTTTATCATCATTGATACATCTTTGTATGATTATGATTTAGTAACCGAAGATAAAGTTATCTCAAGCAAGTTGAGAAATGATAAGCATATATATATATATATATATATATATATATATATATATATATATATATATATATTAGCCTCATGTGATAGAAGATAATAAATCTCTTCTACATACTCAAAAAGGTGTGGGGTTCATTTTAATTTTTTTTCCCCTTTTTTTATACCGTGAGATCCACATAAATTTATGAGTGCAACATGAGATATCTTATCTCCTATTGAATAAGAAAATATAATTCCACATATAAAAGCAAAAGTTGTGAAATAACACAGCTCAACATTCTCTTGTCACTACATGAAAGATCTTGGATGTATATCACATAAATTGTTTGTTTATTATAACATGAAACATATACTCCAAACATGCCTCCAGCAGCCCATCCCAAGCACCATCTTTCCAAATATATGATCACAAGATAACACCTGTCACCCTAGATGACGTTCATGGCCATTATAACCATAATATTTAAAGCACACAATACTCAAAAATGGTATCCAACTATATTATAGTTTAATGAAATTTCAGAGATTATAGAACTAAGCAAATCCAACAGCTGGGGAAATCCCATTAGTCCGCTTGTAATTTTCAGGTTTAAAAATTCCCACCACCCATCTATATTTTATGTGCCATTCTAGGAGTTTTGTCCAGGTTCAAAAGCCCTAGTACACAGGTGTCCCCAAGCAACTAGATTTTTTCTCTTTCTCTCATGTCTCATCACTTTAGCATCAACCTTAATATAACCTATTTTGTTTTGGATCCTTAGCTAAACATGTCACCCAATAGCTTAACACACTCTTGAATTTCCAAATGTGCCCTTATGTTAACACAACATGTCGTTCCATTATTGACTGATGATCTGAATCTTCCAATTCCAACCGCTTAAATATTAGCACAAAATTTTGCTGGGGGAGCAAGTGGATTTTGCTTTAAGTTAGGACCAGTCACAAGGTTAAATCCAAAATTAACCAAATGTGAATAATACACATAGAGGGTAAAGGCATTTTAGTCAATTTGCTGTGGATGGACAAGCATGCATTTTTAGTAGGGGTGTTCGCGGTCTGGATTGGATCGGTTTTGGAAGCAAAAATTATCTGATCCAATACCTTCGGTTTGATAATTTAATCATCCATTCGGTTTAATTTTTTTTTCAAATCCGATCCGATCCAATCCAATTTTTTTTTGTTTGGATTGGATCGGTTTTCGATTTTTTAAAAATCTTAAAATTTGTTCCATGATAATTGTATGAATAACATCTTTTGTATATATTGACTTTGTAAATTATTATTTTTTGAAATACAAAAGCTTCATTAAACGATAATATAGTTTTTTTTTTGCATTGAGATATGAAGCTCTACACAGATAAAATTTTGTTGATAAGATGTGATTATATTTTTTCTTGGGTGTAGTTGATGGGTTAACATGTCTTGGGTTTAAAAATTTTTGGGTTATGATTGGGGAAAAGCCCAAGTAGGTAGAGGAAAATTAATATATTGGATCGGTTTGGATTGGATCGGTTTTCATCAACCCATCCGAAAATCGATCCAATCCAATTAAAATTTGCAGATTTTTTTCGGTTTTCGGTTTAGTCGGTTATCGGTTTTTCGGTTCGGTCACCGCGGTTTGAATCGGTTGATGAACACCCTTAATTTTTAGTGTCACTTGGACCCTTTTTGTTTATTTAATATAAACAATGTTACCCGGAGTACCTTTAACAGTGAAATGGATAGAGATCATAAGAAAGTGACCTTTGATTGACTGATAGAATCAAATTGGGGGCATAACTTCGACTATAAATATGCAACAAATTACACTAAACCAATATCAGTGCAACAAAATTTGGAAGACAACTTTTATACAAGCACACGAACTTTGAAGCCTTTTTGCATGTATTGGGGGGGAGTTATGGCAGGCCACATGGGTGGGGGTGTCCTAGAAGAGGAGGTATGGAGGAAGGGACCATGGACTGCTGAAGAGGATAGATTGCTTATTGAGTATGTCAAGCTGCATGGTGAAGGTAGATGGAACTCTGTTGCAAGGCTTGCAGGTTACAACCATACTCTTTGTACTCTCTTTTGTTTCATAATATAAATGGATTTCACATTATAAGTGACACTACAACTATAGCAATAGAACAAATAAAATTGCTTCCAACTTTCACTCTTTAAATTAAATGGTTACACTCATGTACCTTAAGTTCATTTTGAAAATTGTTTACTCTGGTCTTTAGTGTCACCCCTTATGGAATTTTTTTAATAATATAATGGCCAAATGGTTATTTATGTATTAGTGTTTATGCTCATTATTAACAGGATTGAAAAGAAATGGGAAGAGCTGCAGATTGAGATGGGTGAATTATCTGAGACCAGACCTCAAGAGGGGTCAGATAACACCACAAGAAGAGAGCATAATTCTTGAGCTGCATGCTAGGTGGGGAAACAGGTAAAATTTCAATTCCTACTCTCCAGAACTAGCATGTTTCTATAATTGGAAAGCTTCAACAGATTTTATACTAAGGCCTTGAAATCAAAAACTTCAGGTGGTCAACAATTGCAAGAAGCTTGCCAGGAAGAACAGATAATGAGATAAAGAATTATTGGAGAACCCATTTCAAGAAAAAGGCAAAAAGTCCCTCTGATGCTGCAGAGAAGGCTAGAAATAGACTCCTGAGGAAGCAGCAATTTCACCAGCAACAACAGTTGCAGCAGCAGCAGGTACAACAGCAACAGCAACAACAACAACTGCAATTCAACTTGGACATGAAAGGGATCATGGCCTTGCTTGATGACAACAACAGTCATAGAGTGCCATATACATCTCAACTGAGACAAGAAATGGTCAACATGTACCCAAACACCACAGAAGAACATGGATACTTATACTCTATGCTCAATGGCAACACCTCAGCACCGGAGGCCTCAACAGAAGAAACTTTCTGGGATGGACTGTGGAACTTGGATGATGTTCATGGCAATTTCAGTGTAGCTAATGCAACTGCAAACAAAGCTGGTCTATACAATTTAGTTGCTCCCTTTTGTTAATGTTTTAGGTTAAGCAAAGTACTCCTAATTTAAGTCCATAGTTTTATGAGGCTCCAAAAACCAGGAGCTTTGGAGTTTGGTTTAATTGTTGCATAAGGTGTGTACTTGAGGTAGTGCTATGAAGGCAACTTATAATATAAAACCAGTCAATAGTGTCCCAATTTTGCTTATTGAACTTATATGGAGTTAGAGCTTGGGTTATATTCCTCAAGGGCTGTAGTATCTTGTTATATAGGTGCTTAAAGAGACAATGGTATAGACCAAAGCTCAACAAGAGTCACCGTAAGTGCTATCTCAGGTATGGCTGAGAGAGGGAGAAGATATAAGGGGACAATGATTTTATATTTCTGCAGAGTAACAGCTCATGAAAATAAAAGATTCAAGATACCTCCTAAGATGAAGAGAGGTATATATATATATGGGAGAAATATTTCCTAATGATATGGGAGAGAGTGAGTCTAACCATTTTTGCCCATTATCTCACCGGTGAGTGTGAGGAATTGCATCACAGTCGTGGGAGTGTATGATGGGTGAGTTGTGTAGGTCCACATGCTTCCTGATGACAGGCAAGGGAATGACCTCTTATTGGACCTTTGTAGGTTAACTCAATAATGACCTCTTATTGGGCCTTTGTAGGTTAACTCATATGTATTGGATTGCGAAGGCTAGTTCAGATCACTTATAAAACTAAAATGAACTTTGCTTTTGTTTGCTTTATTTCTTGTTTTTGAATAACAAGCACTAATGAAATTGTTAAACTGGACTTCCCCTTGACATAATCTTAACAATGATTCTCAGGATTTTCGCTTTTTTCCTCTTACATTTGTCTCACATTACACCAAGTGCAACCAAAAGCTAAAAAGTTATACTTAAGTTCCATAAAGCACTTAAAGGAACTAATGAAGTACCCGTTGTTAATTTGGATGGGAAAGATATGTAGTTAATACAAGCATGGCATTAGTGCATAAAGAAATCCCTTTAAACATAGATTATGGAAAACTTTTGGTGCTAGTACAACTCAATACAGAGTTCACATCTTTGTCTACATATTCTTTTTGTTTGTTTAATCCAAAGATCATACAAATGCTCTATTATTCTTTTTCAATTGTTTCAAATTAATCAAATTGGGGGTTTAGGCTTAAACTAAGACAGAACTAGATTCTTGAAACGTCACATATCTCTCCCGATATCATTTTATATTTAAGATCATCTTTATACACCTTGATTATGCTCTAAACTTATCAACATAAGTATCATGGATTCTGATATTCTGTAATAACAATATTTTATTTAGTATTTTTAAATATAGTTTCTGAATCTTGCATTTAGACAGTGGGAGATACTACCAGAAAACCCCCCAAGAAGATTAGGGTTAATACCTTCTTAATTAGTAAAATTTTAATTAGAACTTCAGCTCTCGGGATAAAATCAAACATATTAAGGGCATGTTTAACGACAATTTTTTTTTTTCAAAAACTCTATCAGAAACAACTACAAAAAACACTTTTAACCCTAAAACAAACTAATTCATACATGCACTTTGCACCTCTAGAATCTAAATCCATTGTGTGTTTTTTTTTTCTTCTATATATATTTGAAGAATTTATGAAATCCCTAATTGAAGAGCTAAATCACGAATTTCTATCAGTAAGATTGATGCAACTAAAATTATATAATTATCAGGTATTAACTATTAGAAATATTATATTTATTATCATTTTAATCTTACTACTTTTATTACCTGTTAGACTATCGTTTGATCAATTTGAAATTAACGGAAGTTAATTTTTCTTCTATTTCAACCGTTGATTTCAAGTTATAAGATTAAAATGGTAGTAAATATAACCGTTCATTAATTATTAACCATTGTTTAATATTTTTGGAAAAGAATAGTAAGTACTTTTTTTTTTCATTCCATGACACTAATTACCCTAGCTATTGGGGCGAGTTATGTCCCTCTATATCACCACGTCACAAGTTATGTCCCTCTATATCACCACGTCACGGGCAAAAAAGGGAGTACATCTTCTGCACGCCGGTAGTACATACATCTGCAACTAAGAAAATGACAAGTGGATTAAATTTTTTTTTTTTTTTTCGCACGGCCAACACAGCATCTTGCTCCATTTTGATTGGTTGGTAGCATGGAGTCTATTGTGCGACGGTTGCACAATAAATATTTCCCAAAAAAGGAATCCGGTGAAGTATGAAATTAATTCCGAATGGAGCAGTGCAACAATTATCGAGCTCTAGTCCCAAATCCCAATGTTCCTCTTAGAATTCAAACCCATGCTTTTTTGTTATCTGTTTTGAAACTCATATTATCACTAGCTAACCTCATGTAAAAAATGTTTTATGTTCAAGCAGACGAAGCTAAAAAGTTGCCCGTAACTTTTTCTTCCTTATCAAAGTAATTGAATTTCACCCTTCAAGACTCAATGCTAAACACTCACCTGTCAAAAGTAAATTACTAACTACCGTTATATAGGAAAATATTATACTTATAAATTTTATGTTTACAAATTTAATTATATATTTTCAAGAATAGATTCAATTAGAAATACATTTCCATGAATACATTGTATAATTTGTAAAAATTTGAAAAAAAAAATTATAAATGTAATCTACCCCTTATATATATATGATTAGATAAAATTAGAGTGAGCATCTTCCCAATTGTTATCAAACTGTAAAGTGTTGACAATGAGACAACTCGAATATTATTTATTAAAACTATATTGAACCAAATAGGAATGAGGTTCTACCAGTCACATGTTACGGGCCATTGACCCGATGGGCTAGGTCCATTTTGAGAGACAATGGAACAATTAGGAAGATACATGATATTGATTAAGGGCTGGTGTCAAATATAGTAACAAAAAGACATTGGACTAGGACTATCAAGAAGTAAGAAGAGGGTAAAGCACATCTATATCCTTCTGCAAATGAGTTAGATGTACCTGAATCAAGGGCTTCGTTCAGCTCTTTGTTCTCCCTCTACCCGCCAAAATTAGTGACACAAATCTTAGCTAAGAGGTGTTCATGCACATGACCTAATGCCAGTTTGAAGATTTATTCGTTTGAATTTCATGGCCTAAATCAAGATAACATTAATCGCGAGGTTCTAATCATTCTAATTTATTAGTTAAACGAATTTTTTAATGCAAGAGAGATCTTATACTATATATATATATATATATATATATATATATATATATATATATATATATATATATTGTACCGTTAGGTTCTGTGAGCCCACTATGTACCCTATAGGGTAATGTTACTATATGGATTATATCACTAGGCGAGGTAATGACCAGACTAGTAGGTATAGTTCCAAGAGGCAAGCAAGTTAATAGTAATGGCAGATTAATAGCAAGAGAATGACTTGGAAGTAAATGGGCATAACAACAGTACATAAAAGATACCTCTCAGGTGTGACCCGGAGGGCTATTTATAAGGGAAATGGAGCGAGCTGGTGAGGGAGAGGTCAACTCTCCTTGGGATTTACTCCCATGGTGCAGTGTTAGGCGTGCTGGCGCTGTCATTGTGGCAGTGCTGCGCCCTCTGCACTCTGGCGGTGTCAGCACCGGGCAAAGGGGGAGTTTCCCTTTGTGGTTTCTGTCGTAGTCGCCTTCAACGGCAGGCATTCCAAGATGGGACATTTTGGAGTATGCCTTGGGCCTGCTGCTACGTTGGGGGTTGAGGGGGTCCATGTCAGCCCTAAGGGCTGACGTGGGGCAAGGCTGTGGCTGGGCTTGAGTGATTGGGCCAGCTGAGGGTTGGGCCTGTGTAGTTGGGCCGCCCCAGTATTTGGGCCATCCAGAACAGGAGCCCCCCAGCTTGGTAGCAGCCGTGGGGTGGTGCCAAGTTAAAGACTCCGGACGTTCTTGTCAGGGCGGTGTGCGTCCTTAGAAGGGGAGTTACTGGCGCTTTATGGGTATAAGTTGGCGCCTTGGTAGGTAGGATTTGGCGATCCACCATTTGGCGATGTAAAATTCTTGGCGATGTGAAATGCTTGGCGATGTGAAATGCTTGAGCACCCATCGCTTGGCGATGTGAAATGCTTGAGCACGGGCGATTGCTCTTGGTGATAACCGTCCTACGATCATTGATGACGGGGATTGGCAGGTGATGGAAACGGAAAGCTGCTTCTTAAAGGTACTTTAAGGGGCTTTTCGGTTTCCGAGGAACCATAATGATGAGCTATCCCATCATTACTATTTAGGCAGGCATCCAAGCGTCATAGGGTTCGGCGCATTAATGCGACGTGGCTGGTGATTTGTCCCTTTGAAGTGACCGTTTTGCCCCCTCTCCTTAACCGCTCATCACACGATGAGCATGCCATCGTACGATTAAGTGAGGGTTACTTACACATGTCTGTGTGAGACTTGTGTGATTTGCGTAACCGCTCATCCCACGATGAGCATGCCATTGAACGGTTAAGTGTGGGTTACTTACACGTGTCTGTGTGAGACTAATGTGATTTGCGTAACCGCACGATGAGCATGCCATCGTACGGTTAGGTGAGGTCTCTCTCTTTCCCCCCCCCCCCCTCTTTTTTTTTATAAAAAGGGGGGGAGCCCCCTTGTTAGGGCTCTTCCTTACGCGAAACCTACACTCTGCGCATTGCTCAGAGTCTTTGTTCCCTATCCTCAGTTTGGTGTGATAGTGCCGGTCTTCTTTCTCTTCTTTCCTGCGATTCTCAGGTATAGTCCTTCTTCTCTTGCCGTTTCTATTCTCCTTTGTGGTTGTCTTCTTCTCTTTTTCCTGCTGTACCGATGGTTAGGTTTACAGAACCTATCCCAGGCCTCATACTCCCTGAATTGGAAGTAGAAATTAAGGAAGAGGAATTTGACGAGGCCTTTGAGGCACTGGGGGATAGTGCGGTGGGGCCAGCTATGCGAGAGTGTCTTGCTAGTTGCACCCCAAGTCGTCCCTTAGTTCTTGGGGTTGAGAGGTTTCCCCATGGGAAGGTTCCCGAACTTCTGGGTTTT